CTTCAGTTTGTGTCCTTTTATCATCCTTGCCCCTCGTTTGGGCGGGCACTCAAACTTATTAGGCTAATGAGCAGTTTGTGAGCTTTTGGGCTTGGGGGTCATTTGTGGAGCAACTTCTCCTTCCTTGCAGACAGGGCCACTGTTTGATCTTTGTATCAGAACAGCTTATCAGAACAGGGAGCTGCGCACCCTCCAGCACGCCCTCCCCCTCCTGTTGCTGATGTCTGAGCTGATGGGCTTTTCACCTTGGTTCCTTGTTGTGCAGGGTTTGTCTTTAAGCAGAACTTGCCCCACCACAATGTTTGAGACATTAACTCTTTCAGTCTCTCACACCTTTACAGTGCAGGAGAATCTTTCAGATCACTGGAAATACCGCATTTCATAATACACAGAAAGAGAGTGGCTTTAATTGCGTGGTTACAAAACTATTACCTCATTATTTCTATTTGGTTTTCCTTCTGCAAAACCCTCATGAGATGCTTCTGCAGTTATATGAGCCTGCAATATGTGGAATATGGCAGACTGTATAAAGGATGCTACTCAAACTTTGGGGCTATAATGTACTATGAATACTGATGTAATTTCCTTGAAATTTGCTGATTTTTTTTTTAATTTTTTTTTTTCATTACTGTCTTGGTAACAATTAGAGACAGACTGCAGATGGGAAATTTTGGTGTCTGTTACAAACCATGCTGTTCAGTGTCGGTTGTTACCTGTTGCAGTGCATTTGTGAAATCAGAGCACTGAATAAGCTGGACTATCATAGCAATTCCATTTCTAACTTCCCATATAAAAAGTACCAACAGATTTTAATCTCTTGCATTCAGTTGTCAGGGAATAAATTGTTTAAGACTAAAATATGGGCCTTCTTTCTCGGTGTCTAGTTCCAGTGAGAACCCTCTTCCGTCTGTCTACACCGTTAAGCCAGGATGCTCTTCATGTATAAGTGGTTATGGAGTAGTTACTCTAATTAAACAATGGAAATAATATAGAATTAAAGTTTTCCTTTTTGGGCAGACGTCCTGTTGTGTGTTTCTAAAAATCTTTCTAAATGAACTCATTTAGCTCATTTCCATTTTACATGGATAGTGGGGGACTACATTGAGGTTTTTTTCTTTGTTTTAATTTTTGTTTGTTTGTTTCTTTCTGGAAGTCAGATACTGGATTTTATAATAATGTCGGGTTTTTTTAAACAATAATGTTTTCAGTAATTCTTAGGCATTTAAGTAAGTTATGTGCCTGTGCACTTTGAGTCCCTGTTTCCTTGTTGAACATTTCTTTTCCTAGTGATATGCCTAACTCTTACATCCTTTCTTCTTTTGAATACTATTGGAGCAGGGGAGAGTTTGGCTGCTTCATCTTCAAGTTTTGATTTTCTTTATTCTAGCATAAGTTCAAAGAAATTCAGTTGTCTATTTCCTTAGTCTAAATGGAATTATCTTGGTATTTAGTAAGTGAACCTTTCTTCCTGGCCACCTGGAAGCAACTATGTCTTCAAGTATAGTGATCCGCACAATCAAAGTTTAGCTTTTATAGCTACTAAAAGCCCTGAAATACAGTAAGAGTAACATTGCCTGATGAGTTGGCAGAGAAAGTTGCTGAAACAGCTGTTGAAATGGCAGGACAACTTACTGTTTAAATGATAAACTTATTACCCTATTTTGTTCCATTGTTAGCAAAGGTCTATAGTATCTGAGATTAAGTGTCTCAATAATGCAGTCACTAATGTATATCAACTCTCCAATTAAAGGGTGTTTTAGGAAAAAAAAGTGTTCTCAATTATTCCTTTTTTTATGTACCAAGAAGTTGACTTTCTCTTTTTTTATTGGTGTGTCCAGGATGCCTAATTTGTATCCTTTAGGCAGCTCTGGTTTGATAGGGAACAGAACCAGAGTAATAATTTGTTTAAAAAAACCCAAGCAAACTGAAAAGACATAAGGATTAATATGAGGCCTCCAGATACTTTTGCTAGTGGCATCTATTAATGCTGAGGAACAGTTTTTGAGTCCTTAACCATTAGCAGAGTGTTAGAGAATATGGCTTGGGCAGTATGTGCTACTGCCAGGAACATTATTTAAGCTTAGGAAGCAAGAGAACATGATTAAATAGAAAATAAAGATGTGCAGGGTGGTTTGCTTTTGGTTTTTTTGTTTGTTTGTTTGTTTTTTTACCTGAAAGCTGAAAAATAGGAGGGGTGTAAGTGATGCATCTGCATTGGTGAAGAAATCTCTCCAGTCTAATGTTTATTCACCATCAAACCTAATATTGAAGGTTATCAACATTTTGTTGCAGTTTGTTGCTCAGGAAGGTCACTTAGTGTTTAGAAAGCCACAGTTATATCAGTGGATGAGGGTGCAGTTCAGAGGGAATTGATTGCTTTGATTAAGGGTTTGCTTTCTATAGAATCCATGGTGGATTATTTTGGTGGTTACGTTGACATCACTGTTGCAGAAGCTGTTACTATTTTTGAAGAGTTTTGTTGTAACTGTAATGCCAAAGCTTTTATATCATCTTGGATATACATTTTTGGGTTAGCATGCAGTACCCAGATGGTAAAACTAACTAGCCTTGCAGAAGGCTTGTGGACACTGAAGTAGCAATGGGAAAGTATGAACTGTTTTCTGCAACAGTGTTAGTTTGAAGTGCTGATTTCCAGACTTCTCTGAGAACCTTTAAATAATAATGTAATTGAAATCCCATTTGTGCAGCTGGACTTTGCCCTTTTTTGTAAGCTGTGAGACTGTGCTTCTTCACAGCAAGTGAGACAAGGGTGACTTACCATTGCCACTCAGATAAGCAATATATTATTTCAGTCTTTTCTTTACCCAGCAAGACCCCTTCTCAAATTCATTCCTTTTACCTGACAGTCTCATCTTAGATATTTCTACTGTGTATCTATCTCTCTGATAAAATTGATACTTTTCACCTAATGAATATCTTAAATCATAAGTGGCTCTTTGGAGCAGGATGGATTGGGGAGATAGGACGGGTGCCATCTAAGTTTGTTTATTTGTTTTTATACTGCTTCTTTATACAGCATTCAGTCCAATGGGACATCAGCCAGGATGGCTTCTATGTACTACTGAAGTACAAGTGTCTGTATCATTGAATTGACACAGTGTCTGCATGTCACAGGGGTGGCTGCATCCCTCTTTGATGGTGTGATGTGCTGACCATTAGACTGTACGGCTTTACTTCTGTATCTACCTTGCTGTTCCATAAATATAAGAGGTGGTTAATATATGGGCCAAGTGAAAAAAAAAAAAAAAGTGCTAACAAACAAACTTTACACTTTTAGACAGCATTTGATTCGTTGACTAAAATCAGGCATTCATCAGCTCTCAAATACTTTTCAAAAGGAAACTGATATACATCAAGCACCTCAGCTGTATGTATGAATACAGAAGTTTTTGTATCGTTCGTTTTGCCTCTTCAAAAAATGAACATAATTGTTAAGTTTCACAATATTATTTTGGTTTTCTGTAGCATATTACATCAGACAGCTACATTCCGTGCCTTGCTGATCTCTGCAAAGCCCTCTGGGAAGTCATGCTCAGTTACTACCGAACGATGCAGTGGCATGAGAATCATGACCAAGATGAGGCAGTAGCTGTGTCTTCTGGTAAGAAACTGTTCTGGAAACAAAACTGCTGAAGTTGTTAATTTGTGTGTTGGTACCTCTGTGGTCTTGACTCAGTGCCTTCAGCATTATTGCTTAGAGTGTGCAGTAAGGACTTAAATACTAACTGGATTTTTGTAGTCTTCAGTGTAAGGTTCATTTTTAATGAATATGTGTATGTGCCATTATTACAGATCTAAGCAATTTTATTTTAAACAGTGCTTATTGTTGAGTGGGAGGTCAGCTGTGGTAGATGACTTCAAAATCCTTTAACATAGGACCAATGTGGAATTTCAGATTTTTTTGATCAATGTTGAAATTTTCACTGCATATTAAGCTTAGTAGATTGGGATACTGGATTATGTACTAGGAAAGGTGACTGAAACAATAGGGAATGAATCTGTTGTAAATCTGTTGTGATTTTCAGGAAATCCAATTTCCTGATATGTCATATTTACTAGTGAATCCATAATAAGATACAGTCACAATTTCCTTGATACCCTTACAGGAAAAGGCAAACATTTCATCTTGAAGTATAATTTTGATTTTCTTTTATTGTACCAGTTTGTGTTTTTAGGACAGAAGCACAAAACCTTTGTCTGTTGTCCAAGTCCTCTTAAGTACATTTTGCTGGATGTATTCTAAATTAATATAAAATGTCTGAAGACAGACTTTATTTCCCCACTAACCCAAGATGCTTGTGTTTGGCAGAGGACAGAGTGAGAAATTTACAGTACTAAGATTTATGCAAAACTCCTATTTATTTGAATCAGATAGGTTTGCTGTTTTCTTACTGAAAAGGAGGCTTCTGTAAAAGAACAAGGAGTGTAGGCTTGCTGCTAAAGTTATTCTTTCTTGCCTGATTTCCATAAAACTTGTATCCTTTATGTTAGATGATAATAAAAAGGGGAAAACTAATTGGAAATAGAAGTAAGGAACAGATCTTGGAGCACTGTGCTTCCTACAATGTATTTGAAATCCAACATTTCTTTCAGAAGTCAGATTTATTACAGATTTTAAGTCTTAAAAAAATGAAATTTATGCTAATTAACTTTGTCTTCCTACTTTAAATTTGAAAAATTAATGAAAATATTTTCTTTGGAGTGTCCTTCCTGTATTGTGTGAAATATTAAAAAAAAATATTTAAAAAAAGTGGATTCATTGAAACTGTTATTTCAAGTGAAAGTTTTTATAAGTATACCAGAGTTAAAATTCAGAGTTGAAATATTTAATTTTGAGATGCACTATGTGAAGAAAGATTCTGAAGTTTTGAGTGAATTGCCCATTCTCAATAATATTTAGTTTTAAAGTTAACATAACTTCAGATAATTACATTTACTTCTCTTGTTTTCATTTTGTTCTGATCTTTGTGTGTGTAAAATAAAGCAGGTATCATAAAGAGTTGATTGCATAGAAACATTATTATGGTAGGCTTGCTCAGCTCCAGATGTAATTTTTAAAATAGTTCCCCTTAGTGTGGTTACTTGTGATATCCTGCAGAAAGAAAATCATTTGCACTGCAAAACCTTTTAAAGGAACCATTAAGCCTAATAAAGTCATATATTCAGTCACATGCATAATTTTAAATGCATTGTTTTTTAAATGCATGCCAGAGTGTTTTGGTATGTTTACTACTAATCCACTAACTCTTCTGTCACTCAGTTTTTAAGTTTCTGGAGACATTGTGGCTTAGCTGTAATGTACAACTAGAATATATTTGAGCTACTGAATCACTTTTTCAAATACCTCAGCAATGATAAAGCACACAAAAGGGAATTTCACAAGTATAATTTAATTTCAGAGGGACTATAAATATCTACCAAGTGAAGTCATTGTGCATGCTGTAGTAATTATTAAACCTGTACATGGAAGTCTCATTCCATATTTATTGATTTAATAGCTGTGATATGTGCTAAAGCAAAACAGTAAAATCCTGTAGAAAGGATATGTAGAAGGGTATTTCAGAAGGAACCATAGAAGCAGTTCAGGAGATTAAGCTAAAATTATTCTCTCAATTAAACCCCATAGACTGGAGCAATAGAAGGAGCAGTCTTAACTGTTGTATGTGTATCTGGCTTTTATAATTTTGAGAACCGAAGGCTGTCCCACTATTTTTCTCTCGTTGTGCCAGTTAATGTCAGCAGTCTTACAAAGTACCATAAATGGGTCAAGGGACTCTTGATCTTAGGGCACAGACCCAGCGGTAGAAGTGAGAAGCTGGATTTAGAAGACATGAATTACATAGCTCTTTCTATTTTAATTGTGACGCTTATCCAAAAGAAGTCCTGCATGGATTATGGAAAGGAGGTTGCAGTTCATCTAGATGATGGGTTGTGTATTTGTGATTATTAATGCCTGTTACAGATATTAAAATGTACTTTGCATAACTTGGAAATAATTGCTGTCCTGTATTTCTGAGGAAAGAGGTATGTCTGCTTTATATCGTTAAATATTCTGGTTATTTGTGTTCTGGAAATTAGTCTAGTTTGAGACTGACGAGCAAAATGGAATAGAAAATACTTTCACAACAGGATTTTTTTGGGGGGGGAACGTTTTTAGGAGAGACTCTGAGATTGAGGCTTTTTTCTTTTTTTTTTTTCCATAGAATTGAGTTCAGAATTTTTAGTTGTTCTTTCAGTTATAGTGTGGACTAGTCTTTGGGGATTACTATTTTTAAGATCAATTAAAAAAATACCTAACTTGGAATAAACTAAATGGAAACAGATAATTATCTCTAGATATAAATGCAATCCTAAAAATTTTTAAAGCATAAAACATATTTTAGTACCTTTCATGAAATAGGAAATACTAATGAGATTTAGTTTGCTGAAGTGTTATGACAGAGTGGCAGTAAATCATAGTGAAATGTATGGTATTGATAGTTCTATGAATCGTCAATAATAACACTTAACTAATTGCTCTAATATACTGTTGGAAAGATAGAATTAAGTGTTCATATGTAGGACTTGTTTAATCATACTGAAGATAAAATTAGTGAGCTAAAAGTATCAACTCCATAGCATAAAATGAGTTCTAAGTCACATTTAATGAACTGCTACTTATTCTGTGATTTTGGTGTTCGTATCGTAAACAGCAAATTGCCATGATACAGGTTTTCATCCCTGAAAATAAACTGCTTACTGGAATTTTTTGCATTGCACTGTTGGTCATGGTCAAAGCATTGTTTGTGTTTGTAGTATAGAATCAAAGAAAAAATGAGTTTTAAAGGGACCTCTGCAGGTCTTGTTGTCTTCCCTGCTCAAAGCAAAGCGGACTTCAAAGTTGCATTGGTTTGTGCGAGGTCCTGTCTGGTTCAGCTGGATTTTTGCATACCATAAAATTTACTGTGATGTTGATGTAATTCACATGTATTTTAATTTAACACTAATTTACAGAAGAACTGAAACTAGGCAGTAAAATGATAATTATGGCATTTAAACTCCTGATTTCACAAGTGTAATCCTAGTGGTAAAAGTTGGTAGCAACTGTAATAGCTGTAATAGATTCAATGAAAAGCAAGAAGAAAATGATGTAAGATGTAAATTTAACTTCAACCATTTTAATTTTCAAAACACTCCATTAATAATATTGTGTAAATTCTGTGCAAGACCTGCTTGGTATTCAAAGAATGAAGCTAGAGGACAGTGATTTGATTGATTTTTTTTTTTTTTTTTTTTTTTTTCCCCTCTGCCTAGTGAGGATTAAACAAAAACCTTTTGTTATGACTGAAGGCTGCCTTCATGAATTTTGCAGAACTACTGAGAAATCTGAAAAATTACTGTATTTAAATCAGGCATCTAGAAGAATAACTTCTGGATGCTTCTGATTCTTATTTTTATGTGAATTATGAATATTTATGTATTCTGCTACCTGTTCCAAATTTTTTAAAGCAGAAAGTGTAACTGCTTTTGGACCTTTGTCCAATCCTTGATGTTCAAGGAAATTATCCTAAATTCATATGTTTGAATGTGTCAAATTAGCTGCAGTACAGTTCATTAAAAGACTGGAAGCAAGACCTCTTGGCATGACTGGCCGTAAACCAGGAGCACGAGGTGATTGCCGTAAAGAATATTGCATGGATTTTTATTGAACAGTAGCATGCATATGACTCTGTCCAACCGTTCCTTCATAAATGGCAGTTCGTGAGGACAAGGACTGTGGTCTTAATCTTGAGAAGGGATCAAAGATACTGACTTGTTTAGACTTGGCTTCACTCTGCAGAAGTATAGAAGAGAGGAGGTTGCAGAAGCTTCTAAAGAGGGTAGTGTGACTGAGATAGCTGGTTTTATTTACACAGTCAGAGAAAGGATAAATCCGCTTAGTGTTTCTCTAGTTGGGTTATTCTTTCTGTTTATATTTTGTTTACCCTTCCGTGATAAGTCACTTTTGAAAATGCATTTGTCAGAATTACTGCTTTCAGGAGAAAAGGAGCATGTTTAGGTACACTTACTAAATTATAATTTATGTGTACACTGGCTAATATTTGTTTTACAATTTTTCTTTCATAAGGAAAATTTTCTTTGAGTGCCCTGCAACAGTAGATGTAGTATGGAATTATGTTTGAGTCTTTTTTTCACATCAGGCGGCCTTTTATCTTTTCATTTTGAGTAATTGGGTAAATTCTCAGCCTGCAAAAGCAGTCTCAATGACCTTAAACAGGAAAGAGTTGAACACAGCTTTGCAGCCTTGGAAGAAATTAATATCTATCCCTACTATAAGGCCAAATTCCAGAATGTGTTTTGTTATGTTTTTAATTGTGAGGAGGATTTAATCAATTGAAAGTACCAGAGCTTTTACATTCTGGCTGCATATAGTATTGTACTCGTTCTGTATTCTTGAGGTTTAGCCTCATGGGCAGACTGATTTTAACTTAACTGGCTTGAAGATTCTTCTTGGTAGTATTCATATGTTCACTATCGTAATACCTAGCTTGCAGATGAAGCTCCCTCAGTGTTTGGTAAAGATCATAATTTAATAACATGTCCAGAGACACCAAACAGCTCCACTTGAAAGAAATTAAGCAAGGCCAGCATCCTTCTCAGTAACCGTATTCCCCACGTTTGCTTAATTTAAATGGAGCTACAGGTGTTGAAGGTTTCATATCTTTGTTGTTTCTCTTGCTTTGTTGTCATATAATAGATAATATGTTTTATATATGCAATATTTAGAAATTTTTTTTATTTACATGGGAAATCCAAATAGTTCTTGTTCTGAGAAACATACTCTGAAAAAGTTCAAAGCAGAAAACACATGGTTGATGGGGAGAAGGAATATGCATATCATGCTCTTCTACTTACAGAGAGTCTGGCCTAGGACTGGGAGTATGAGACACTGGTAAGTGCTATTTAGGATTAGTGATTGTTACAGAAGGAAACTCTGCTCACTTGGCAGTGAGCACTGGATGATGTAAAGAAAATACGGTCAGAACATGGTTGGACTCTGCTGTGTTCTTTTGTATTTTGGTTTAATTGAATTGTCAGTATCTGATACCAGTCATAACCATTCTTGTTCAGTCATAGCCATTCTTCCTTCTCTTAAATATGCAGCAGTCCAGACAATGCTGCAGAGGTCTGTTCTGCACACATCTGTAAAGGTTGATTAAAATCTTGTATTGGCCTCCCATTCCTTACTGGCCTTATTAGTAAGGTGCCCACAGTATTTACATGATATTCATCTAGACTGCATGGTCTGGATTCAGGGCAAGGCTTGACATGGAAAGAGCATTTTGTCGTTGACAAAAAATATCTTAGCATTGGCAAATGGAGGTTCTTTATGGTTCTGTACTCTTCTTCAGTAGATAGCAAATTAGACATGAAAAATTGCTACTGTCTCTGAGGAAAGTGAAATTAAGCCAGGAGGCTTTCTGGAAAAAAAAACTATGAAGCCTAGTAATGAAGAACTGCAAAGGTCAATCAGGATTAGCTCTCACTGTGGTCCTGGTAGCACATTACTACCTAAGGAACACTATTGTGACACGGATTCAGGATGCAGGTGGTGTTTTTGTCTTGCTAGTTTTGAATGACCATAAAAAATCCTGTCCCTGCACTGAGATCTGCTCATGAATGAAAAGGTGCTGGAGCTGCACCTGAGCTGTCTGGCAGCATCACACAGTTTAACAGCTGAACATGCTTCACAGCCTCAGTGCTGTCTCCCTGGGTGGAAGCTGCATGTAATCCCACTGAGGCAGTTCAGTCCATGGCCTTGGATCACTTCCGAATTCCTTGCTGAGGCTAGAAATAATTCCACCCGCCCCCCATCAAATAATGTGTTCCACAAGTTAGGGTTGGCCAAGACACTACTGCCAGTTGCTGAGGAGCTGTTATATGTTCTACTCTTTCCTTTACCTTCCTGTTTGCGTTATAGCAGTGATGTGTCTACCTGGTCATGAAGTTCAACAGGTTAAAAAACGGGAGTCCATCTTTCAAGAACGCAATCTAAGTCAAGGGTGTTAGACAGGTGCTAGTCTGTTAGACATGTCCTGTTGCTCTCCACGTAGGCCCAAATTATAGGTAGGAACTGTCTTTCCCATGATATCATAAGGAACTTTTATTTATTTATGTATTTTTTCCAGTTCCCTCTCTTGGTTCCTGCACGATCTGGACTTTGTGCTGCCTGTTCCCGTGAAGCCTAGGCAGCAGGGATGGATGAGACTGCCTGATGTGTGTGCAAAATAATAGCTTGGAGCTGGGTGGAGGTTTTTGAGAGGAAATGCTGGAATCAGGGAAAGAAATGGCTTTGAGTTGGGAGCCTGTGTGTGGAGGTAGAGAGACGAGACCAGCTGGGCCAGGAGCAAGGCAGTAAACAGTCTTCTCAAGTACTGAAAATTAGGTGGAGGTTGCAGAGAAGATGGAAAGACAGGTCTGAGCTGCATGGCAATGCTGGGCTACTGCAGGCAATCTTAATTCTTCTGTGTTTGCAGCCTCTTGAATGATGGGGTAGAAGGAGGGCTGTATGTTTTGTAATATTCCAGTGTAGTATTTTATGGGAGTTTTTATCTTTCTTGTCAAATCACTAAATGGTTTGGGCTTTAAAGGACATGCATAGTTGCTTGTCAGGAACAGCAGATTTTTCTTACCATGGGGAAACTTTGTATGTATAGTCTGGCTAAGACAGAGCTTTCCTGTCATCAGTCATGGGCTGTGAAGCAAACTGCATGACACTGTGCCATCACAGTCTGCAAGCATAACCACAACTGTATATTCACAAACCACATATAAAATAGTACCTTCTCTTTTTTAGAATGGAAATAAAACTTATTTCCTCCATGGGCAGAGGGAGGACCATATACGGGAGAAGTTTACCATGCATTATAGTGCTTTTTTGGAAAGTGATCCAGTGCTGCAGGAATGAAGGTTTTAGAATTAAAGTAATTTGCAAGAATGAAACACACCTGCTTGTATGATTGACATTATTTTATGCTTAAGCGTAGATTAGAATGGGGGGGGGAGAAATAGTTCATGGAAAGTTCATGGAAAAAGTTTCAGTATTTTTCCTCAGAGTTGCAGACAGAATTTACCAGGGCAGAAATTTAAAAATCTTACTTCTGAAATTTTTAAGTTCATAATTCTTGTCTACAAAGGTAGAATATCTTAGAGGATCTTGTTGTAGAGAGCATTGCTCACTTCAGCATTCAACTTTATCTTGTGTATTTGAAATATCAGTATCTGTTACTCTCATCTTTTTTTGATTTTTATTGAATGGGGTATCCTGCTTACATAAAAGCAATCAGAAGTTCTCCTGGTCTGCATTAGCATATAATATTTATATGTGCTTTATTCATTTCCTTTCAAAAGTTTAGAGCAATGGAGCTCTCCTGGAGTTTGCGTAATGGGTAATAGGATAGTGACTAAGGCAGAAGTTTCTTTATGGGTAGAAAACTAGGATACATTTCAAGGCTTTTGGAAATACATACAATACCTTTCACCTTGAATTTCAGATGGCAGCAATGTGATTGGAACTGAAGAGAACAGTTTTGACCGCAGCTATGTAAAAAAGAAATTGGAACATGGGCTTTCACGAATATGGCAGGTATGTTTTTTGATTTTTTTTTTCCCTTCCTAAATATTTATCTCCTTGCTGCTGCCCCCCCTCCACTGGTATTAATTACAGTTATATTTATACTGATCTTCTTAAAGAAATCTCCCCAGGGATTTTTTTTTTTTTAAGTGATTTGTTTTGAGCTAAATATATTAAAAGCATGGAAATACAATTTCCCTGACTCAGTTACTGCTTGGTCGCTATGCTTACAAACTCAGTCAAGATACCGGAACATAGTAACCTGACTTGCAGCCTGATTGCACTTCTCCCAACCTGTTTGCTGCCCCACAATCTATTTTCTTCTCATGTGCTTCTCTCTGTTAGCACAGTCATACTGCTTTATGTTTCTGCTATAACCATAGCTATGGAGAACCTGAAGTCACTTGCCTGGTTTTAACAGTATTCCTGGTCTGACTGCTGGATCAGTTTGATGTGCAGTGAGACCCCAAATGTATGATGAAAAAGCTGTAAACCTTTTCCGTGGCTGAATTGTAATCCAGAGCTCTCTTTTTGCAGTGGCAATAAAGCATCTAGGATTGACTTTGTGTTATAGAGTGTTAAAGAAACTGATTCTAATATTATTTTAGAAAGGCAATGAGAAAGCACTCATGTTACAGAAAATGGAGTTCTACTCTAAATATCAAAAAGAAGTTGTAAGTGCAAACAAACCAAAAAGTGATAATGAACCAGGCATCTGAGCCTTCACCTTTTTGTCTTCAGTGTATTAAGTATACAAAAACTTGTTTGTGTTTTGTAGGATGTTCAACTGAAAGTGAAAACATATCTTCTGGGAACAGATCTGTCTAACTTCAAATATGACGACTTCATATTTGTACTTGATGTTACCAGCAGGTACTCTGATGTGGTCATAAGACCATTTAATACATGTGCACAAACTTGAACTCTGATAAGACAGCACAGTTAATTAAGGCTGATATTTACATTCTGATGCCAACTTTGTTCATATCTACTGACAGTTTGAAGACTGCTTCTTCTTTATGTGGGCATTTATGAGGATGTATTTGGGAGAGGTAGCATAAATTGCTTTGCTGCTCAAGTGGCGCTTAAGTGCAATATGATTTCAGTATTGTCCACCTTTAAGATTTCAGATGTGCAGATCTGACAATTTTGATGTTTCTAAAAGCTTTTAAAGGGACTCTCAGTCAAGAGCAGTAAAATACTGTGATACTGCTAACCTGTACAGTATTATAGCCTTCTGTTTTGGTAATAAAATGACAAATTCAGGCTGTGAGCTGTACAGCTTGCCCTGCATAGCGGGTTCTCAAAAAGACATTTATTTTGCTTATGGCTCTTTGTCTCTATGTGTATGGGACATTATGATAGGATTTGGAGGGAAATGAGACATGGACTTTTGTAGAATGAGTGAAGTGTTTGCAACTTAAAATTGGTGCTCTGCTTTTATGGAGATAGATGTACGCTCATGGTAAAAATTGAGGCTTGTAATTCAGGTTGGAACAACAGTATTAATAAACCAATAAATATTTCTAAACCTAGTTTTATTGTTACAGACTGATGCAAGTTGGAGAAGAATTTTGTGGCAGTAAGTCTGAAGTTTTGCAAGAATCTATAAGAAAACAAAGTGTTAACTATTTCAAAACATACCACAGGTGAGACTACTATATGTGTAGTGGATGAATCTAATGGCCTTTATTTTGTTGATTTTAACTTTAAATGCTTTCCAAAGGAATTCCACTGCATAATGTTCCTGCACTGAGGTTGACAGATAGTGGAATATATTTCATGATGAGAATAGGGCTCTGAATCCTGGAGAAGGGGAGAGGGTGGAGAAGCCTTTGCTTCTGCTGTGGTTGTGGAAAACTCTAGTTCTGCAGCAGGGAAGCCAGATAAAGATGAAAAACTTTTTACATAGAATTTCAGCAGTTTTTCAGGCTGCCTCTTAAGCTGTCTCTAGGGATCCTGAGGATGAATGCCTCTGAAGTCCATACTTCCTAGGCAAATTGTTACTTCTTTTTCTGTGCCATTACATAAAAACAGCTGATCATGTGTGGCTATGAAATGTTTTATTTCAATATGCAATTTTGTCTTATATCAAATGAGATGTTTAGAACTGAGTCCATCCTTTTTAGTCACATTTTCATAGTTTTTTCATTGGCAGTATCTAATTATGTTTTGGTCAGCTCTACTATCATACCTGAGGCCAGTGCAGTCATATGCAGGCAGTCTCTGGCCTCAAATATGATATATGGCTATGACAGCTTCAAGACTTGTCTGTCTGTTTGTTTTAATTGTCTTGATTTCCCAAATGTTTTGGTTTGGATGATTGATAACTCTTTCATTGTAGTTATCTAGCATTTATCTTCTTTCTGGGTGTAAAAAGCTAGGAAGATATGAGAAGAAATACAGTGTTCCTTACTCTGAGAAACTCTTACTTTCCCAGTCTTGATCTGTTGTCCTGTTGTATGGGAGCTGTCGTACAACTAATACTTCCAAGCCCATTTGGTCTGAAACTTTCTGCCTAAAATGCATAAAGCATAAAAATTATGACAGGAGAACATGAAACAGTGTCTAAATTCAGAAGCTGAGAATGTGGTCTGGAATTTTTCCAGCTTTGGTAGTTTGTAGCTAGGATTTCTTTCCGGACATTTGATTAAGGCTTCAGTTCCAGTTGTCTGAAAAGCTTGAGCCTTAATCAGATGCACATTATGTCTTGTCAGGAGATGAGTTGATTAAGATGCCATGCCCCCTATCTTTATTTCTTGAAAGCATTTTTGAACCCTGAACTGAATTTTGTGAACTGATTTGGGAACTAAGCTTGCAGCTCTAGGCTCAGAAGAGGTGCTTTGGTCTATGTAACCATCTTTTACTACACTGACTTACCACATAATAACTTACTTGTTTAAGTAAATATCGTATTGACCATTATGGTTTTGCTTGTGCTTAAAGGACCTATTTAACAGCTTAAGGCATCAGACGCTAATTTTCTGAATTATCTTTGAGTACAATAAAGGTTAAGGAACACTGATGGAATACGTATAGAACTAATAATTTTTTGAAATAACTTCTGTTTTTTATTAAGGTAATGTTTCTTGTAATTTTTGTGAAAATAAAAGGAAATATTTATTGATATGACTCAAATTTTGTGAACCTTTTAATACTTTTTACATGTTCTATGCTGTGTGGGTATTGTAAAGATTAATTAGCTGATGTTTTCATCCTCAGAAAGAAAACTATAAAAAAACCTCTCTCTCAGCTATATCACTCAGGTTGATTTATATAAAAGCTTTAAGCGTCTTGCCTTTTCAGATCAAGCTAATGTGGCTTTCACTCCCTTTGTGTACTTAATTGGGGGGGGGGGGGAAGCTAGGGCTTTTAAGGATTCATTAGTACATAAAAGCTACATAGAGCTGAAATGCTCAGAGTCCAGGAGTTATCAGTTCTTTGATTGTGTAATTTGACATACATGCCCTCCTGGGTGGTGTGGTGTTTTGGAGAACTGCCAACATAGAGAAAGTATTCAAAGGAAGTGGTCATGTCATTCAAAACGAGTAGAAGAGCAATGTAATACTAGAGCATACATGAAGCCTTTTTTGGGTAAAAGTTGGTTATTTTGAAAAATTAGAGTGGACTTTTGGCAGAGAACATTGTTAAGGTGATTGGAATGCAATTTACTTTTTGTTCCAATACATTTGTAAAAAGGTGTGTCTGATCGCTATAAAGCTTTTGAAGAGGAGGAATGCATCAGACCTTCCATGTGTGCCACTTTCTAGACTTGTATGCTGGTGAAAATGAAGAGCATTTGTTCAACTACTTTGTCACTGCCTTAATATCAGCTTTGAAATGATACAAAAACTGGTGCTGTGTGGCTTTTAAATGTTTGCTTTTCTAGGACTCTTTCTCCTTAGTTCCTCTCAAAGAATTTTAATCCATAATGGTAACTTTCACAGCATCTCTATCTCTTATTTCTGTTGGCTTTACTGCGAGAAGATCTGCAAGCTATGGGTACTCAATGCCTTGAAAATACCATTTGAAGTCTATTTGCATTTAACTGGTGAATATAAACAGACACAGCAAACTGTAGTCATAATTCAAGACATTGCTCATCTTATTGAGGCAAGAAAATTTTAATTGTGGTGATTATAGTTTGTTATTGAAATAGTGGTGTTTCTAGAATATTTTACTGCCTAATTAGAAACGCAGTGCATAATTTACCAACTGCTACTTGTTAAATAAAACAATATAGCGTATATTAAGAAGAAAAGATACAGCAATGTGACCTCAATGAGCACTCATTGCTGTCTTTTCCTATATGTGTTCCTGCTTATGTGGCAAAAAGATTTTCTTTAATAAAGATATTTCTGCTTATGGCTGAACAGAGGCTTTTCTAATGATTTAAAACATAACAGAAACAATGCAGAGATGTAATGCCTTGATTACGTTTCCCTAATACATTTTCTATATTAGTTCCAAGGTAAAGTTAAGCTATGAAGAAAAATATAGCTTAGGAGATTAATAGCCATTTAACTTTTTTCTTTTTTGAAAAGTTGAGATGTCTGTAGAACATTAGTTCTTTCCACTTCCCTTTGCTAACTGTTGGCTTCAGTGTGTTTGAAAGAAGCATCTATCTTGTGTGGGCTCACAGAAGCTGTTGTACTGCTAATAGAGTGTTTGCATATATTATATTGCTTTCTGCAGTTTACACAGAAAAAAAAAAGGTCCAGTACTACTGCATAATCACGGATGTTCCTTTATACTTTCTAATGGTTTTGACAAAAAAATATGTTTGCAAATTTTGGAGATTTACATTCATTGAGAATTTCTCCAGAGGTGTAAAACATACACTGTGTTAGTAGCCACAGCTTTTAGGTGGTCTATCAGTTGAAAGGATGGGTTAAATATCTGTTTTCAAGTGTGACTTTTTATACAGTTTTTGAAGGTGTTTTTCACTGCATAAGTTGAATAATTGTCTACTTCCTGATTTACTCTTGCTGCCAATTAAGAGTATTCATTTGTTGTATTTCAGAACCCGTCTTGAAGAATTAAGAATGTTTTTGGAGAATGAGACCTGGGAACTGTGTCCTGTTAAATCAAGCTTTAGTATTCTGCAGCTTCATGTATGTTCTGTGAATAACACATACAAATGTAGTAATGGTTTAATGGCTAAGAGTCCAGGTGTTCTGAGAAGTAGTAAGATCCATGAACTACTGTGCAAATGTTTTTAATGGCTGCTAAAACCCCCTAAATTTCACTTCATGATATTGGAAACTTAAGATTCAAGTGCTTTCAAAACGGTAGTATTCCTGTTTCAGGCAAGTAGAGATTTACAGAAGATGCTAAAGTTGTAAGCGTAATGTTAGCCTTTAATTTCATGTTTTAATGTGCTGTTAATATATCAGTTTTCCATTTCTAAATTATTTATCTGAGAGTAAGATCCTAAAAGTTGAGTGCCTAAAAGTAGTCACATGAGCGCTCGCTAGCTTGTACCAATTCTGGCACTGTTTCTGGAGACATAGGTCACAGTGGGTCATTTGGAAAGGAGAAAAAAAAAAAAAAAGTTAATTCTTCTGTGGTGAAGTCCAACTGAAAGCAAGTACTTGGTGTGCTCACCTGCTGTCCTAAACTGATTTTTGTGAAGTTTAGCATGTGGTGGGTGAATTTCACCTGTTTTGCCAAATGAAATGTGGATGCTTATGATTAAAGCTATCACAAGTGCAAAAATGGATGTAGCTGAGCAATCTCAAGCAAAAGACAATTTTGCAGCTTCTGTAGAGCTAACTGTAAAAGTAAGCAAGAGGCTACTGCGACAGTGAGAGCACAGAGGGAAGAGGAAGGAGGACCCTCAGTAGCATCCAGCAGCAAAAGAAATAGTATTTTTAGTAGAGAAATGGGATTATAAATCCATACATATTGCTCAAGGGACTGGAGCAGCAGAAAATGGCAGAAAGTAACTGATTCATGTAAACAAACAGAAATCTAACATTGCAGTCCTTCTAGCTGCATACGCTTTGATCTTTAAACCTTTAGATAAATGATAATGTACATTTTGCCATTTATGAAGATCAATAGCTAGAGTTTAATAGATAAAATTGATAGGTCAACTGAGATAAGTCAAGGTTTTGTAGAAAAAAATGTCTAAAATCATACCTTATGTGCCCTACTTAGTCCATATAATTGCAGAAGTCTGTGTACTCAGCCGGTCATCAGAAACTTCATGTGCCATGGGTTTGAAAAGTAATAAATTTTGAAAAGTAATAAATTTTGAAAAGAACATTTTAAAAATAAAATATTAAGAAAAAAAATTCATCTTTAGTGAATTACTAGGTAACTTGTGTAAAGAAAACTACATTTTTTGATAGAATTTAGGTCTTGTTTTATCTCCTAATTTCTGTGAAATAAAAAAATCCACTTAGCTTTCACGTAGTTTTAGACAGTGAATACTTTCAGAATGCAGGAGATGTATTGCATGTCATAGCCAAAACCTGGTAAAATTAGAAAGACAAGCAGTATAAGATTGCCAATTTCAAGGTTAACTTGAGCCAGCATGAAAAGCATGTTTAAATAGGCCGCAAGCTTTGGCTGAAAGTTTTTTGTATCAGGTTAATTGTCCACAAGTTTGTTGTTATGCTCTGTTTTTATGGAACTGGAGTCATAATAATACGGAAACTGTCTTGTTGGTGATTAAAATTGTACTTTATTTCTATTAATAGGAATTTAAGTTCATGGAGCAGTCACGTTCCCCATCTGTGTCACCTAGTAAACAGCCTGCTTCAGCAATTTCAACAACAGTAACGTTATTTGAGCAGTACTGTAATGGAGGAAACCCATTTGAAATTCAGGCCGACAGCAAAGATGATGAGACAGAAGACGTGCTAGCTTCCAATGGGGTATGGAGTATTTCAGGAAAAAAAAAAGGAAAAGCAAATCTTGCTCTCAGTAAATGATGATTTATTTTGTGTATCAGTGGTGGCAAAATGTCTTAGTACAAGGATCAGTTAACTGCAGTACTGTGTAAAATCACAAGCCACTTCTTTAATTAGGTAGGTTGCTTTGGTTGCTTTGCTTTTAACCATGCCAGAGAGCCAGGCATCCTGTTTAAAGTTCAATTTGTTTTGCAGTGGATCAATTTATTTTTTTTTTTTTCTGCTGCAGTCAAGTGTTTCTGAAGGCTAGCAATACATGTTTGACCTAAATTAGTATTTTTCCAGGGGTTTAAATTAGCTTTCTTTGTGGAAGCAATTTTGTCATTTTAGGACTGGCTTTCTGGCTTCTCAGGAAAGAATCACTGTGGGTTGCTCCTTCCGTTGTATTTGTTCACACCTACGTGATTTGTGATGGATTATCTGATGTTTGTTAGGCAGTTTTTAATTGTAATTCAAGTGCTCAGGACATCTGCTTTACGGTGGGATCTACTATAAAACTGAAAAATAACTTTGTGTATTTTTTTTCAGAATGCTGTCAAAATCTAGCAGTGTCAAATATATTTTAATGTAAAACTTCGTACCATTCTCGTAAATACTACATTAGCATATTTTTGTTACAGCTTTTGCTCTTGTTTATCCCTTTGAATAATGTTTTCTTGGGCTTTTTTTTTGTGATAAGGTTGGGTTTAGTTTTTTGTTTAAGGTTAGTTAATCCAGCCATCACACTAATGGCTTTCTCATTTTCAGCTTCCTCTTGTATTCCCTGTGGAACTTGAGTTGCAGAGCAGCTTGAGCAGCTTGATCTGTATCTGACACACCTGAGTGTGATGCTGCAGTGCCTTGCCTTCTGTGGGCAATGCTGCAATCTCTTTCCTACTGTGTCAGTTGAAGAGAAAGTACAGTTGATTGGCATAAAATATTGTTGCATTGTGCTTAAAGGAAGCTGCTCAAAAGCCAGTTTCCTGGTGGTAGTTCTTCCTTCTGTCAAGTAATAGAGCAGAATATATGTCCTGCCTTTTTCATATCAGCAAGCTGAGAAGAGTTGCATGGTTATTACTGTTAGACTTACATGTAGACTCCAAATGAGTGTGTTAAGCAAAGAAGAATGCACTGCAGGGCGTGCTGAAAACTGCAGAATTCCATGGTACTTTGTAGAAACCCATTCTGAAACAAAGCTTTTGGGGAATCTGGGCAACCATTTGGTAGATATTTGCTAAAATGATCCTTAGTGAAATAAGGATTAGTGATGATACCAAGAGTACTCTTGAAGTTTTCAAAATGAAATCTCCCTCTACTGAAAAGTTCATTTCAGACTTTTGTATATGTTTGTGAGTAGTTTTGCTTTTTAGAAGATTTTTTTGAAGGACTAGAAAATTAACTTAACTTTGGGGGTTGTTTGGTTCTTGGTTGTTTTTTTTTTTACCCCAAGACACCTTTCTTCTGAAGGTTTGACTCTGTAACAAATGTATAGAGCCATCATGACATGCACTGTGAGTGCAGAAATACATCTCAAATATTGCAGGATATTTTTTGCAACCATTTGCATGTAGAATAATTAGGAAGGTGTGAAATTATTTTACAAAGATGATGTTAACTGGAGCTACTGAGACTGGATAACATCTTAATAATAAAAAAGAGTAATTGTTGGAACGTGATTTCCATCTCCTCTGATTCCTTACAGGTTGCTGCTGGCAAATGAATGCAGACACTGTCCCCATATTTTTGTGCAGTGACTTGTAAGCAGAATACTTAGACTTGTAGAAGGCTAGAATTGTCTTCATTTCTTGACTATGGATATGTTGAGGAATTTTCTTTCTGTCTTCACACTTGTGTGAGATATGAAAACTTTGCACACAAGTTAGAACAGAGCTGCTTCATTCTTCCCAATTTTAACATTTTACCCTTCAGAATCTGTTTCTCCTAGCTCAAGTAAAATTTAAATGACATCAGCTTCCTCTGGACTAAGCTTTTGCTTCTATAATCATGAAATCATTTGATGAAAAAGTTAGGTAGCAAATGCTGATGAACCTGTTGGAGATACTGTTTTGTTGGCTCTTGCCAGCCTGAAGCATCACACTGCTGCCAAGCAGACTGCTATCAGTAATACTCTCTTCGGTCTTCAGCTGTATTTTTTTTTTTCCCCTGTTCTCCAATGAAGAACCTATTTGGAGGATTAATAGAGCTTAAAAGAAAAAAAAAGCTTTCGCTTTCTGTACAAATACAGTGTTTCAAGTACAAAGTCTGCATGCAGTGACAGTTACACAGGAATTGTCATATTATGTGAGACCAGTGGTGGTTCTCTTACAGCATCCTGCTTCTGGTAGTGGTTAGCACAGACACTGCAGGCCTGTGAGAGGTTAATTGGTCCTGCAAGTCTTACTGGGACACTTTGTAACCTGCATAAGTTACAAAACGTAAATGTGTGGGATGGTTTTCCTTTATTCCTTCCAGTATTCTCTTGAGAAAAAGGCAAGAAAGCCACCTTCACTCCAGAATGATGTTCTTTATCGTAATGGAGTAATATCCTTATCCAGGTAGTTATCTGTTATCTTTGTTGCCTTATTACCACAGGGAGTCAATGAATTTGACCATCTAATCATCCTGGCTAAAAACGTCTCTTTATTCTGAATTTGTCTCTAGCCATTGGAAAAAGTCTTTCTGTATGTAAAGGTTACTGCTCATATATTGGTTGTTCACTGCTGTCTCTTTTTTGAAGGTGTGTGAGGCTTAATCCCAGCCAGAGCTGAAGCTAGTTAAAACAGTAAGGATTAGTTCGTTGCTAAGGGATTGCCCCATTCTTTGCACGTAGGTGCTGCGATCACTGCAAGCACCGTGGTGGAGATGGCATTCTAGTAAATCACTGCCAGGATGCCCTATGCCTTCTCTGGTGGGGCTGAGAGCGGCTGCCTCAGCGGTTCAGCAGTGGCAGGCTGTGGTTCTGGTAAAATAAGCTAGAGGGAGTCATGATCCCATCAATTACCAATAGGCTGATGTGTCACACGTGTAGCAAAGTCCATGTTGTGGTTTCCCCGTCTTTAATTTTGAACAGTGTCCCATTTGGTAGGCTTGCACATTGTCAGGGACTTTCAAGGCTGGCTGTACTGTCCTCTTTTTTTAAAGCTGTGTGCCAATTTAGTGTTCTTTATTAGTGAAAGCTTAATATATTTTAAATTTGTAAAATCTGATTTTGTGCCTGGTGAGGAGCTATAATGAACTTTGGCTTTCCTCTAACACCAGAGGGACAGAATGTTCTGTGTGGAAAAAGTGAAATATCAATGATGTGATTTATTATGCATTTTTCTTGTGAAATATAGGTTAGATTTACAGTCATTCATATTATAAAATAGTGGCTTTTTAACCTTAAATGTAGTAGTATGGAGAGAACTTAGGAACAGTGTATAGAACTATCTTTTTTCTTTTTTTTTTTTTAAACTAAAATACAAAGTTAAGTTTCCGTTTGCCTAATGTAACTTAAAATTGATTATGGAGGATGATACTTTTGATTTTTCTTCCCTCCTTGTGGAAATCAGTTGTTGTGAATATTTCCTTTGTTTGACATGTTTCTACCAATGCTGTATATAAACAGGTTTATTTCATATGATAACTTCAGTTTTAATGCATTGGAAAATGGGAACTAACTGCTTTTAATACTGAAAGATGTTGAAGAAGGTAAAGAATCATACTGAGACTGTGGATGAGGGTGTTCAACAATGCTAAGGCGGCACTTACTTGATTTTCATCAGTGTATTTGGCTGTTAACTCAGTCACTGTAAGGATAAAATCCTTTCCAAAATATTTGTGAGCCAGGGAAGTATTATGCACATTTACACAGAGAATTGAGGCACAGGGTAAGTTAACTAACTTGTTGGTAGTTGTACAGGACATCTAACCTGGCTGGTATTACAACCAAGGTTTCTTGTGACCCAAGTAAGTATGGTGACCAGGTGACCATCCTACCTTCCCTTTTCATATTTTTCATCTCCTCTCTCCTTTACCAGCTGTTCCAAAGCACTGACACATAGAACGAACTCTTGGTTTAAAAAAAAAAGAAAAAAGTTACACCTATTTGGTTATCCTGTACATAGAAACAGAAATAACTTGCTTAGGTAATGTGCAATAACATTTCTACAAAGGTTTTAGGTTTTGGTTTCTTGACTGACCAGTTAAGGTGGAGGCACATTTTAGCACTTAAAATTGAAATTATTTCAGATGGAGGTTGCAAAATTTTGTTTCCAGAGAATGCAGACATGTTTCCAGATATTTCACGAAATGGCATGACAAGGACATAAGCAATTGATTTACTTGTCAAATGATCTGTAGGATGGTAAGAACTGTCAGAGCTTATTTTGAGAATTTTAAAGTCTTTTTAACTCCTTAGTTGGTGCAGCTCTGGGCAACTGAAAACAGGCCTCTGGGTCCAGTTACCTCAGCTCTGTATCTTGAGCTTCCATGAGATGCTTTTTTCTGTAGCTCCGTAAAATATCTTTGTTGCAATACAGTTAACTTACAGTTTTGTAACACTCTTCAATTTTGATGAATCTTATCATCGTCCTGTGGGTTTGGGCCGATTGCCTAAACACTTGTGAACTGATTATTGCTATGAGATACCTGAATTCCTTTTAGCACTTTAAAATTTTACTGCAGACTGTGCATATTCAAAATGGATTTATAAGGTGTCTTCAGGTTGAGGTCACTATTTAATAGTTGTTAGTTACTTACTGCATACTTTAAAATGCAGATATTTTTATGTCATTAAATAACTTTTCCAGCTCATTAATAGTATTAGATTGAGGAGACTTAGTAAAGTATTTTTCCAAGTTAAAAAAAAAAAATTCTCAAAATTCTCTTAAACTGTAATGTTAAGACAGTTAATATGTCTACCATCAGATTCCTATATCAATATGCATTGTACTTAACAATTTGTAGTCAATTTATCATTTTATTTTCACTGGATTTTAATTGAATTGGCATGTCATTTTTTGTATGTTAATACATAATAAGTGGTGGTAATTTTCCATGCTAATATTCCAGCCAAGTTAGTTAAACTATGATTCTTTGTCCTTAATCAAACCTGAACTCAGCTAATTTTTGAAATAAACTGCTGCTTTCGTTATATGTTTCCTTTGTCTGAAATGTTCATGAAGCAGAAATTTTGCTTGTGAGTGCTAATGATCAGAACATTTCTTTTTAGTCTGTGTCTCATACTATGGGTTTTTTTCTATCTGAGCTGTTTTTGCTTTGAATTTGTTTGTACTGTGGGCCTCTTGCTTTTATAATATACTGCTTTCATAGTACTAGGCTTTAAAAGCCTCCATAGCTTGGGGCTGGGGCCGGCAATTGCCACGCATGACTGAAAAAATATATTTCCTAGTGAATTTTGGATGATTGAGAGACTGGCATTACTTTCGTGTATCTTCCTTGGTTTCACCTCTGGAGAACGGTTGTATCCTTTAAAACCCTGCCATTTCTTAAGGATCCTGGAACCAGACCTTGTTTGTCATATGTCATTATTGACTCCTTTGATAAAATGGCTTCGGAGCAGTGAACATGTTAAGGAAAAGCTAAAAGGAAAAGTATTGTGTACTCTCTTCAAGTGCAAGTGCATTGTGCAGCCTGATGGATATGCTTAATGTTGTGATAGCTGCGTAGGTGTTCAGGAAAAAGGGTTATATCCCAGAGCATCAAGTATTTGTTTTCCTTTTAATCTTTTCTGGGTTAAGAAATTCACTTTGTGAAAAAAATTATTTCACTATTTATGAAGTGTTTAAAGCACCTATACTACAGAGCAACCTAGAACACTTGAAAAAGAGACTGACATTAAAGATTGCTTTTAATTGGAGTGAAAAAAGATTGCAAATTTGAGGTGTTTAAAAAAAATAAATCCCAGTTGTACACTTCTAATATGTATGTGTAGCTTCATAATTACAAAAAGCATTTATTATCTGTATTTGTGAATAGTATTTCTCCACGTAACTCATACTCTAGAAATAATAATACATGGCTACCATGGAAATCCTATATTGTATTATATGTGCTGTAGCCTGTGTTGCTCATTTTTTTCCAGACATCACTTGTTAGGCTCAAACCTTCCATCCTTGAATTGAAAATAATTCTCTTGCGATCTTTGAAATGCAATTCAGCAATTGAACAGTGAAACAGTTTCAAAAAATTAAAAATGCAGCTGAGTGTTTGGAGGCACTAGTTGTCTGTAACTACTTGAGCTTCTTATTCTTCAAAAGGTGCAATTAACATCAAATGTTCCTCAGTATAAGAAGTCTCAAGGCAGGTATACATGGTTAATTTATCTACACATGCACATTTTTCATAGAGTTATTCTGGAATAATTTGTGGCATTTGTGACAAATGAAGCAAATGGTGCATGAGGCTTTCTTCCATCAAAGAAGAATTGTTTCTCTCATAATGAGATAAATATTTCAAATATTTGGATCTTGGCCTTTAACTAGATAAAGGATGGCATATGTTTCAAAACAAAACAAACCCAAGAACCAGCACATGCAAATAAATAGAAGCATTTCCCAAACACCTAATCAAGTTTTCTGAGAAAGCAAGGGGAAAAAACCCAACCTTTAAATCTAGCCCCCACTGATTTATTCCACCAATACCATTGAGTTATCTCATTAGAGTGTTTCTTAGAATAATATAGTGTGCTGTGGTTTTGGGTTTTGTTGTAGTTTTTGTCTTCCTCTATGAGGAAAGGTGTATCAATTTGGGTTGCAGAATCCTGTTCTTTACTTGCTCTGCAGTTTTTGTTTGTTCCATGTACAGTGCAAAGTTTATAGGTACAGAACATACAGATATATATGAAGTTACTGTTCTTGCTGTTGATGTAGATAGAACAGCATACAGCTGAAGAAAATAAGTGTAGAAAAATTAGTGAGAAAAAAAAAATACATGGTAATAGTAGCCATGAGAAATACTTATATTTTTGTAGTAGCATTTGACTGCTTATTATTCTTGAAGTGTTTATGCTTAGTCAAAATCACATTGGTCTCTTAACAGGTTAAGTGGTTGACTCCGTAGTAGAAATTTCTTTTGTAGTGTACTAAAATCAATTTTACAAACAACTGCAAGTTGGTTTTTTGGTGATGGTTGTTTTTTTTTTAAAATAAAGTGTATGGTATAAATAAGTATTTTTTCGAAGCAGTAGTTTAGTCCTTCTTGCATTAATAATTAAAGATTGTGTAGTGCCAGGTTTCTTTGGTTTATTGCCACCATATGAATGAATTTTGAGGTTTTATTACTGTTTTTCCATATTGTAAAGCAAATAATAAAAGCTGAGATACATGGGTACTCGATACAGCAACAACAAAGCAAAAAAAATTATCAGTAGCTGGGAGGAATAGGATGATGCAAATATTTACTCTTAATCAACATCTGAGAATAGAAGTTTGTTTAGAAATTCACTTACAAATAGCTTTGTATAATTTGCCTGCTGCATTTTTAATGAACATTGTCAGCAGCCTTTCAACCAGCAAAGTTATTTGTATCCTGATCAAGGTAAAAGCCAAGAAGTGACCAAAATGCTACGTTAAATGAGTGACAATATTATAAGGAAAATAATGGCAGTAATTTTTTTTTTCTTAACAGTATGAATCAGATGAACAAGAAAAAAGTGCATATCAAGAGTATGATAGCGACAGTGATGTTCCTGAAGAGTTGAAAAGAGATTATGTGGATGAGCAGACAGGAGATGCCCCTGTGAAAAGGTAGGTAAACTGTATGAGTCCTTGGTCTCATTTACCTGCTTTTCATCTCAGTACTCTAATTAGTTCATTTTCTGTTTAATCTATACTCTACAACAATGGAATAATAATCAAATAATCTTTATGCTACCTGCACAGTTAGAAAGGCTCACCAGTTAGATCTCCGGAATGGGGAGGAATGTTAAACTGCTCATCATTATTGCAGAAAGAAACTTTGGAAAGCAAGATTTTGAAGGAGGATGAAGGCTCTCTGAAGCAGGTAGTGGAGAACTGATTAGCAAGCATTAGATGTTAACTGAAGACTCTTCTACAACTGCTCTTGTGCATATGTATAGTTTCTGTTGTGTCAAAAGCAGTTGTTTGTCTACAAACGGCTTGAGGCTTCAGCTTCTGCTTTTGCAGAACTACAGTAAACTTTTACAGATTAAAAAAAAAATTAAATTCTACCATAGCTTGAAGGCAGTCACTTGGGATTTTAAATTCTCTTTTGCTTTAAGAATAAACACGCACACACACACACACGTGAATATGCATATTCTCTTTTGAAAAAAAAATATATATTATATATATTCATATAAACAAAAGTGAACTCTGTAGCATTTAAAAGGATCTGAAACACAAATTTCTGTCTACGACACTGTACTACTTAGATGTCCATTCAGACTTTGTGAAGCAGGCTAACATTTGTATGTAGAGGATTGCAGAAGAACTAGAAAGCCATCACTTGGGTCAAAGCAGAGGAATGTTTTTTTACAAAATAACTTTTCAGGATAAAATACTGTTAGCGTGATTTCATAAGATGAATCACACGGACTACTTCATTTCAAAGAAGTGATGGAGATATTGATAAAAATTACTTGGAACAAACCACAGTCACTGTCCATAGCTTTGTGCTGTGAAATTGAAGCATTCTGAATTTTTGGAAGAATATCATTTTGAGGTATAGCAGCTGGCAGAAGGTTTCACTTATAGAATCATAGAATATCTTGAGTTGGAAGGGATCCATAAAGATCGTTGAGTGCAAATCCCTGCTTCTCGCAGGACTATGGTTTATGAAAAAATTAATGTCTTTTTAGTTTCATCTTCCTCAAAATTGTTTCCATTTCCAGACAGTCATTTTCAGCTGTAGCTTACTAGTCTGCCCCTGTTTTGTTGTGACTTGTGTTGTTTTCATTTTCTTTACTTCATGAACTATGAACTTGAGTCAGAGTGCTTAAAATGATTGCTGAGGCCAGACAGAGGCCTGCAGAACTCAAGACTTGGACTACAATTCAGAAACTCCTTTCTCTAGCACAATTTTATGTAAATTAAGCCAGGTGTCTCTAAACGTTAGAATCCTAACCCAGTTACGCTTTGGCATAAATAAAATACTGCGCTGGAAGACATACTGTCATGTGAAAGAAGTGGGGAGGAAGGAGTTCTTTTCTACTAAATTTTATTTGTATGTCCTTGAATATAATAGGCAGTCACATTTGGTGTATTTTGTTTTGTTTTCTTTAAAGTGTTTCTCGAGAAACTCTGAGGAGCAGAAAGAGATCAGATTATAACCTCAATAAAGTGAATGCACCTATCCTAACAAACACTACGCTGAATGTAATAAGGCTTGTTGGTACGTAGAACAATTGTAGTTTTTTATATGTGTTTTTTATTTTAATGCAAATCTTTGGATTATAGCAAATATGGATTTTAAGGCTTTTAAAAACATACCTAGTTGGGGTCTATTGCCACTTTTTGAAAATGTTAATAGAACAGAAATAAAGCACTAAACCAAAATATTTTTTAATTAGACAAATTTGATTATATCTTGTGAGTTATTCTTACTTTGAAAATTAATCTGCGTGCATATAGTGATTTTAACCAATAATGGTGGATTATTTGTCTAAAATATTGAATGCATAAAAACAGTGAAGATAGAAAGGAAATAGATTAATGTTTTATGTTGCTAATGTGTCTTAGTGGATTAAATGCTTCATTTTCAAGTAGTATAGTTACAAAAGTAAGAACTTAAAGATTGGGGGGGGTTTGCCCTTTCATTACTCAAATTCTTACACCCAGAATAACTATTTTTACTACATAGTAGACAACTAGAAGAAAAGTGCCTTCCTGTACTGCTAATTTCAGTAATTGGAATGCATCCTAGTAAGCCCCAGGGAGTTTAGGGAATCTCTATCCTTGGAGGTGATCAAGACATTACTGGACAAGCCCCTGAGCAACCTCATCTCCTTAGACCTGCTCTGAGCAGGAGGTTGCACTAGATGACCCCTGGAGGTCCTTTCTAGCCAAAAGTTTTCTGTGAAAACAGCCCCCTTCAATTCTAGGTGTAATGTGATTGATTTTTTGTGATCATGACTTCCATTTGATTATCTAGATAATTGTATGATAGCAATTTTCTGCTACTGACTTTCATTTTGTTTACAGAGAAGGGGGAAGTAACTACCTAAAGTTATCAGGGTAGGCAGAAGAGAGGAATTTTGTATGTATTATACTAATGAAGTTTGTATTCAGTGTTTATGTGCTTCGAAATGATTGTGGTACTTCAGAGTAAGCTGTTTTTAAAAGACTACCTGACACCTGGTTAGTACCTTTTTGCTGTCTTAGAGGGTAGCATATAAATCAGAAATTAGTTTTCTAAACCTTTTTTTCAGGTATTTTTTTTCCTCTTGGAGTATCTACAATATAGACCTGAAATAAGAACTGAGATTATTCTGTCATAACTTTTCTGGTATTGATCTGTGAGTTAGGTTGGCGAGATTTATTTGCTACCTTCCAGTATAAAGTTTTGCCCTAAGAAATTTTAGGATTCAATCTAGAAATCACACATGGCACTTTATGCAAACCACCCGGTCTTCCCCCACCTCTGCCCCTGACCCCTTGTCCTAACACAGTGTGCGAGTAGGTGGAGCTGTAGTTCTAGTTTTCCAATTTCACATAAGGAGTCTTTAGATTCGTGCATTCTGGCCATAATCCTGAACTTAAACATTACTTTCAAAGCTCATATATATGCTTTTTTCCCCTTCTGGAATTATGCTTAATTTTCAATTTTTCTGCTATTGGGGCTGTTTTATATTGTTTCTGTAATGACTGATAATAGCGTTATTTGGAACATGGAATTGGAAAGGGACCTCCTGCAGCCCCTGCTACAGGAAGACATGTCATTTAGTACTGCCTATAAATATGCTTGTTTCGAGCTCCATCTTAAAAATACTACTGTTTTTGTTCCCACCACTCTATCTAATAGGAATTCTATTCCAGAAGTCTTATCAACCTAACGGTTAAAAAAATAAAATAAGAAATTGTCCACCTATTTTCTGCCCACTTGATCTTACGCCAAAATAAACTTTTAGGTTTAACAGATTGTCTTGTTCTTTGATGCATACTGCTCTGCTGTTTTAAAGAAAGCAATCCTATTTCTTCTCAGTCTTTGATTTGCTAAATGAAATGTGCCAAGCTTTTTAATATCCTCTGTATTTATCTGCCAGAAGCTTAAGTCCCCTACTTTCTTACCAGTTCTTTTTCTGCTCTTGTTACAAACTTATCAAAATCATGTGCAGTACTTTGCATGAAATTTCACTCCGTTGTGTCACTGTTGTATCGCAGCAACCTGGTCACAAGTTGTCTCCCTTTTGCACCTCTTCGCATTTTTCACAGCTTCGTTGTACTGGCAGTTCATTCCATCTGTAATGAGCTTGTACAGCCAGCAGGTCCTTTGCTTTCCCAGTTTTTTTCCAAGGGATGACCTGCTAGTTTATAGTAGAAAGATGCATGTTTTTAATTAATTGGTCCCCAAATGCACAGCTTTACTTTTTGTACTACTGAATTTCATCCAATTTTTATTACAGCAGTCGTCAAGGTCCTCCAGTTCCTCCTGTACATTATGTCAATCCTTTTCTGTTTTGATGGTGCCTCCTTATTTTTTTCCATTATCACACTCTTATTTTTGTGCCAGTGTCATTCATGAAAATACTAAAGACGATGCCAGTTGCTGGGAACTCTACTAGTAGCTTTTCCAGATACCTCCCTTTTCAACACACTCCATTCTGTCTTCTCTTTTATTAAACCCTTACTCATTTAAAAAACTCGAGCTTCACTTGTTTGCTGTGCAATATTGTTAAATTAATACTTTCACTAAATCCCAGGTAGATGAAATGTATTGTGTCCTTTGTCTAGAAAATCATGTAGGTTCACTAACAAGAATAGGTATCTTAGTCTGGTACAGTTCACTTCTGGTAGATCCATGATTTATTTTATCTTAATTTTGCCTCTGTATTTCAGCTTCTGTCACTTCTGTACTTTCTTCAAAACTAGATCTGAAGTCCTGCATCCTACAAATTAAAGCAATAGATCAATAGCTGCCTGGATGACTGTTTTCCCTCTTCTTGAATATGTTTTTATTTGCTGTTTTTCAGTCATAGCGGTACAACCCATGTCTCAACTGCTTATTGCACATACAGGTTATTACACTGATTACCTGAGTGGTGATTTCATGTCCATTTTTTATTATGCCCTGATTCCTTCGCTCCTGTAGCCTAACTGTTTTAAGGTCTTTTCCAGCTCATTCTCAGTGTGGCTGAAGGTGGCCAGTTCAGTGCTATTAGTCACCCTGTTCCTGTTCTCCTCACTTTTCTCACTGTCAGTATCATTTTCCCCAATGAAAATCAAGGCAAACTATTCATTCTTGCTTTTGGGCTGTCTTGTTTGTCTACAATCTCTGTCCTGTCACGTCCCCCCCTGTTTGGTTTGCTTTTGTTAGTCTTCTGTAATTGGAAAACTCCTGATTTTTACCATCTTTGAAAAATTTAGTTTTGGCAAGACTTTTGGTACTTCTAGCTCGTAATGCAACTTCCTGAGCATATAGGTCTGGTTTTGCCCTTTGTCCTTGTCCTAGTCATTCTTTGCTTCTAGTTTCTTTGCAGTTTCTCATGTTTCTAATACGCAATGACCCCGCCTCACTTCTACCTTACTTTGTATCTTTTTTTGAGGAATACCTACCACTTGATATCATAAATGAAACAAGATTTTTTTTGCACCATGTTTCTCTTAGACATAAACTGCATATTACACCTCTGCCACAGAAGTTGAAAATGCCTTCATCTTTTGTCATGACTTTTGGCCTTAGCATACAAATATTTCATTCACTACTTCTAGGCAGCATCCCCAGGGGCATTAGACACATTTCTTTAACTAGTGGTTAATGACTACAGAAACAAGAAACAAATAAGATAGCACTCTTTAGACACACTATTGGATTTATTAGTTTTTCCTCCCTTCTTGTCTCCCCTCTTGTCTCTTGAATCCCTATTAAACGTGAAGATGAGCATGTTGTTGCTTGGCAGATTTGGCTGTGCGGGATGCTAGGTTGTAGGAGATCCAGGTATGATCCACTGCCCTGGATTTTCCCCCTGCAGACAGGAATGCTGTGGAACATGCCCATCTTTTAACAGCAGTCTCTGCTGATGCCATGGAAGGCTCAGTTTGTCTCGCACTGTTTCAGATTTTTGGATAGGAAAATGCCACAGTACTTAACACTAATTTCAAGTAGTATAACTGAGATGATTATCTAGAATCCCTTCATTATCAATAGAAAACTGTAGGTAACTCCAGAAGATGGTAGAGTTTGTTGGCTGTCCTGGATGTCTTTGCCTGCATGTCATCTCATAGATATCTTAGCACTTGTCTTGTGCTGCTTGCCCTCTGCACAGGAGATCTAGGCAACCAGTATGGGCTAAGGGTCTAGTTTTTAGATGAAGTTGGACAAAGTGAATTGCATATGCAAGCCCAGTGGTGTGGCACCTCAAAAAATGAGCAGGGGCCTAATGTAATACAGGGGACGCTATAGATGTGTCCTATCTACAGAGAGCCTGTACTCTATTTTAAAGTTCTGCTCCTTGAAAATAAGGCTGTATTTTAAGAGACGTTTGTTTTGGTGGCAGTAATGGGAGTACTTCAGTGGTTTTTGACCCTGCTATAATTTGTCACTGATATTCCTGCCTACTGTATGTTGCATCAGCATGACTTCTAGTAGATCTAGATCAGCTCCCTGATCTTAGTTAAAAACAAATAATAAAGGAATCTAGGTTTAATAAGGGAGTGAGATGAAGATGCAGATTTAAGTTGCCCAATCAAGTAACGGAAATTGTTGCCTCACTTTTTAGGAATGTTATGCAAGTACTAGTACTCACTGAATGAGTATAATGGTGCTCATAACCCATTTTGAACTATTTCTGTGTGCTGTATGCTTTCTATGGAGGATAGATGAATAAAACAAAGTGTAGCTTAATATTTATAAACTACATAAATGAGTTGCCTTGTATAACTGAAGTGGGACCTGCTATAACTTTGTTTAATTTGAATTTCAAGTGAACAGCTCAATTTATCTGGTTTTACTAAAGTTAATAAACCGGGTAATTATTTCTCTGTCTCCAGTATAAAGTAACCATTAGATTAATTTATAAGGTTAATTTTTTCCTGTCAAGCCATTGTGTGTTGGCTTAAAATGTATAGGAAGAATGAACCTGTGTTAAATTTGTATGGAATATTTTGACCTAGGTCCTATACATCAACAAGAATAATTGATGACTATGCCATTGTATATATTGATTGGGTGATTTCTTATTTTAATTAATAATGCTGGGGTTTTTTAATGCCTTTTTTTGGCCTTGTCATGGTTTAACCCCAGCAACTAAGCACCACGTAGCCGCTCACTCACTTCCCCCCCGACCCAGTGGGATGGGGGAGAGAATTGGAGGAAAAGAAAAAGTAAAACTTGTGGGCTGAGATAAGAACAGTTTAATAGAACAAAAAAGAAGAAACTAATAATGATAATAATAACAATAATAAAGCGACAATAATATTAATAAAAGGATTGGAATATACAAGTGATGCACAATGCAATTGCTCACCACCCGCTGACCGATGCCCAGTTAGTCCGTGAGCGGCGATTCCTCCCAGCCCCACTCTCTTCCAGTTTATATACTAGACATGACGTCACATGTTATGGAATATCCCTTTAGCCAGTTTGGGTCAGCTGCTCTGGCTGTGTCCCCTCCCAACTTCTTGTGCCCCTCCAGCCTTCTTGCTGGCTGGGCATGAGAAGCTGAAAAATCCTTGACTTAGTCTAAACACTACTTAGCAACAACTGAAAACATCAGTGTGTTATCAACTTTCTTCTCATACTGAACCCAAAACATAGCACTATACCAGCTACTAGGAAGACAATTAACTCTATCCCAGCCGAAGTCAGGATGGGCCTCATTTTTGCTTTTGTTGTAAATAGTTTTGGGGAGGAAACTCTGATACTTTGCTTGCTTGAAAACTCATTAACTTTTAAGATAATAATAATGGTGATGACAGATCTCACAGCAGAAATCTTGTAGCTGAAGTAAGTGATCGGTCAAACAGCATGGAACCTCATGGGACTTAAAAAAGCCTAAATCATACAATCTTTCAAAATTATATATTTACAATGGGCTTTCCACTTTTTCCTTCAAAGTGGTGATTTAGCTCCTAATGTATGTGGTAGGAAGCTGCATGTCTGGTATTGTGAGACTCCCTAGGAAATTATTTAACTAATGACCACAGATAAACTAAAACTCAAATATGTATTATTCAAGAGGTTGTGTATTTATTTACCTTTTTGGTTTTAGTGATCAGTTTTATATAGGTTAGTCTGATAGAGAGTACTCTCTACTTACTGTCTTTAAGGATGAAAGAAGAGCTGGAAATAATACTTCAAAAGAAACCTAGCAAATGTTCAGCAGTTTTGGGTATTAATGGAGAGCCTCTAAAAAGTTAAGCTACTTTGAGTTGCTGAAACTCTTAAGTGGTTTTTTCAAGTATTTCTGGAAGTTTCTAGCATGGCGTGGATTTGGGCTGTTAGTGCTGTTTGGAAATGTTCTCATATACCCCTTTTTTACCCAAAATAGGAACTTTAGTGCAACTAAGTAACAATGTATAGAAGTTAAAAGTTGGCGTCCTCTTAGCGAGAGGAACTAGGAGGAAATGTTCTTGGAACACTTGTTGTGTCAAGATGCTGAGTGATGTAGTAATAGAGAAATGTTCTTGGCATCAGAAGATTTTTATAGGGACAGTACTTGGGCAGTGTACGGTGTGTAGCCCTTTGGAAAAGTGTAAGATACTGCCCAAGAGATTACCTTGAATATTTACGCCAGCTGCAGAGATACTTGGAAATCTAACTGTCCAGAATGTGACACATCACCCGTATATCGTGTATGGATTGCAGGCGAGTTTAAAAATGTGTTTATCACAGAGTAAGTGGAAAAAATCAGCCTATGGCAATACAGAATGTTCGGATAGCACATACGAAGGTGATAGCTGCTTTGATTAGGGTACCATCCTTTCCCAAACATCTGAAAATTTCCATATTGGGCTGTGCTGGAATTGGCTGCATTTGGTTTTCCCTTTTGGAATACAAATAGAATTTTTTAAGTCTGCTTTTCAGTTTGTTCATAATGCTGTGGGTCGAAACATTAATAATTAAGCATAGAATTAACAATTGGGTTAAACTGCCAAATGTTAAGTATTGTAACCTGTGTCAAATCTCCAAAAATAACAAAATATATGGTTGTGTGTGTTAGCAAACTGGGACATGGATGCATAGTATTCAAGCAGGGAGTCTATGTTAGATAGAAACCTGGAAAGTAGTGATGTCAGGTTATTGCTTGATTCTTACCATAGTGCTATATCATTTTACCATGTATGTAGTTGTATCATGTAATTGTCAGATTAATGTTGTCTTTACTGACCTACACAAGTAATTGCTTTAAAAAATTCAAATAACTCCCCTTGATACTGAAAGCTAATTTAGTTTCTTTGTTATTCAATTTCTCTGCTTAAAACAACATTTTCTGTATAGATTAGTAAATTACTTTGGACACAGCATTAACTTGAAAAACAGTGTTGACTACAGGAAAAAAAAATTATTTTAGCACACTCATGGAATTTTTTTCCAACCTGTCACATCAAAACTTGTCCGGAATATGACAATTTGTTAAATGATCTGCTATATCCTACATGTTGGGTGGACTGTATTTACGTTTTGGTTCAAAAATTGCTGTCTGTTACTATAATAATCCAAAGCTTATTATATATTCTTTATGTTTTTAAGACACTAATAGGGCAAGCAGTATGTCATTTTTGAGCTAGCCAGCAGGAAATGTAGGGTCTCTGCAATACGAGGGTTTTCATTAAGTACGCTTGCTTGTGTGACCCTATGAAAAGAGCCATGCCCTATGCGAAAAATGAAATAACTAAAAACTAAAGGCCCTGTGAACTAGACCTGCAGGGAAAAATTTCTTTCCAAGTCCAAATCCTGTGATCAGTTTGACTCAGCTAACATATAGATGAAGGTCCCCAGTTGTGGTATGTGGGTTTTTTTAATTCTTTAAATTTTTATTTTCCTAAGTCAAATGCACAACAACAGAGAATATGAAGGAAGAGAAGGAATTATTCTTCTCCTTGGATGTGCCAGGGTCCTGGCATCCTCCTTTTCTGTCAATCTGTCCCTCTAGAAACTTTTCAGACATACATCTTAAAACTATTTGCATTTCTTACCTCAGGATAAAAAGGAAGGAGAGCAGGAAATGCTATGTCACTGATGCAAAAAAAAATTATTCCTAGAGTTGTTGGGTGAAATCCAATTTTGGGCCTATCGTTTTTATACTGTGCTTTTCTATATCTTGAAAAATATCCGTATGTGCGTATATAAACGCACACTAATGCGTAAAATCTTCAGTGGCTCTATATGTCATTTGCCAGACACTATTTTAGGGGATTATTATTTTTTGGCTAAATGAAGCTGAAACTTGCAGAGGATCCAGAAGGTCGTATATTTTGAATTTGGTACCGGAAGGCCAAGAATGGTTCCAGGCATTTTGATATGTATTAGTATCCACATTTGGAGAAGTCTCGAGGCATTTGTGGTGTCTTAGTCATCTTATTTAACTTTGTTTTTAAATCTCCCAATCTCTAAAATATTACTAAGTTGTTCTTAATCAATGTGCAAGGCTAAATAATAAACTTTGTAAAGCTGGTTTTGAGTTTGTCAAACTCGGCACTGTTTTTGTAGCACTTGTGCTGAGGAAACTGATCTTCTGTATTTAATTTTTAAGGGAAATACATGCAGATGATGAATATTCTGAAACCAATTGCGTTTGATGTGATCCACTTTATGTCCCAGCTCTTCGATTACTATCTGTATGCGGTCTATACATTTTTTGGCCGAAATGACACGGTAGGTGGAAACATTATTCATTTCCAGGTATCACTGTACACACACAACGAGAATACAGAGATTTCTTTAATTAAAATACTACCTAATATGTAATCACCAGAAAAACTAGTGGCAACAGAACGGATCCGAATGTAGGAATAAGAAAAGGCTGATTAGATCAGCAATAAAGTAAATAAGTGCTGGGAGCATCATTATCACTGGAACATGAATCCTATTATGTTTTAAATAGATTCTGTACTCTCTTTTCCAGCAGTATTTTGAAAAGGAGGAAACACAACATGAAATACCTAAAAGTAGTGGCAGGAAGTGGGGAGCAACGGAGCAGTCTGCAGAAGGAGGGTGGTGGTTTGGAGACTAGAGAGTATGAGGTGATTTAATTTTCCTATATGTTTCCCTAACTTAGATAAGAATAGCAAAAGGAAGAGGAAGAGGGGACCATGAAAGTTAAGTAGTAACTCAGGCTCAAGAGGCTTGAAATAGGCTTTTTCATATCTACTGTTCTTCTGTCAAACTAACTGCATTAATGAAAACAAGGCGGTTTTTGAGTGATCTTGTAGCTGAAATAAATGCTTGTTGGCAATGTCTGTACATAACATAGATCAACTTTAAACAGAATTGTCTTAAAGCATTTATGAATAGCTGTGCGTAAAAACAATTTTCTCCTCTCGTGGCCCCTAAATTACTCCACAAGTAATAATATCGTGGGGTTCCAAATGCATCATCATCTGCTGGCAAATTGTAATGGATTTTCAGACTCAACATATGGTTCTAAATGGTTTTGAGCTGTTCTCTTTGGCAGGACAAATGTACTTGCAGTTTGTTTGTGTTTAGAAGATGGGTGGTTTTTTCATGGTGGTTTTTTTGTTTGTTTGTTTTTTGTAAAGATAATTATTTCCATTGGCTTAGTCAGCTGCTCTGGTATTCAACTTGTGTTGCATTTATTTTTATTTTTTTGCACCTCCCATTTTGTGTTTTTAAAGCCCATACAGAGTTCCTCACTCTCTACTTCTAACAGAGAACAGCACAGTGCTAGGCAGGTAAACATTATAGCAGATGGCTGGTAAAATTATGATGTTTCTGTAGTGTGCCTGATTTTTGTTTTGATAGATGATTTTTCCATGGGAAGCATAATGCTTACAAAGGGTCTATGAATGTAATAAACCCTCTTGTAATGCTGCTTAAATGTCCTCACTCCCCATAGTGTTTATAAACCTTTAGAAAGTAGAGATGGGTGATGGTATGTGACTTAGACCAAGAGCGTTCCTGTTTTATTTTTATTTACAAAATAGCATCAAATGGGATTCTTAAAAGTATGCTGGTAATATAACTTCTTAAATGGTTGAAATTCTTTGTGAATATTGTGCTTCTGTTGTATGTGTGAGTTAGTACACATGTAAGGAGTGTGATTAATTGTACAGAGTTCATTGCCAGTTCAGTGAAAACCAAGGATTTAAGATATACATGTTGAATTCTACGTCTGGTCATGATGCTAAGTCATTGCTCTTTCCAGACCTCTTTAGAATGGTTATCCTATGTGTAGTCAGTATTTGGCTTTCTTCATTGCCAAAAGTTGCACACCGTTGTAACCAGAATTGCTCTTTCAAAACCTTTGTGATTTGTGGGATGCAAGTTAAGGAGGCCTTTCCTCCTTATCTCAAGTTATGGAGCAACCTAACATGAAATTAAAAGGAATTGCCTATATTTAATATCTACTCACTAAAGTTTAAGACATTCATGAACATGTCACAGAATAGTCTTCCTTAGCAGAATATATTTAAGGTGAGTTTAAATTTTTTTTGACAAGACATTATAATAATTTGTAAACCAATGGCCATTGTTATGGAAAACAATTTTTTTAAATTTATTTTTTTTTTAACTTTAAGGGGCTATGTAGAATTGGTGATGAGTAAAATTATTCTGTAAATTGTCTAATGATCTGCTTACTAGCCTTAATAGGTCATCAATTTGTGGAATTTAAATATATACCATTTTGCATATAGAAATAGCAAAAACTTCCATGAAGCAAAGCAGTTGTACTGATGAGTCACATGTTCTGTTTGAAGTCGTGAGCTTCTGTCCTTGTGGAAAAATGCTGAGCAACAGTCTTTTGGGGGGTTATTTGTTTGTTTGTTTGTCATGTTCCCCCCCCTCCCCCTCCCTTACATACAGATGCACAGTTCTGATTTCAGGCTGTAACTGGTTGCCTGATAAATCTGAAGTTCTCAATATGTAATGTTTTATGGAAATTTAAGTTTGTTTTTACATTCCTTTTCATTCAGATATGTTTTAAATGTGAAATTGCCTGTTTTTAGAAAGAAATATATCATTATAGCATAAGTAAGTGAAAGTTACTGATAGCTATTGAAAGTTAGTAATTGAAGGACAGGAAGAGAAAGAATTAGTGGCATGGTGCAGATGCAAATTTATTAAAATGAAATTTAATGGCTGAAACTTGCAAATACATTTCTTAGTGGTTTTTTTTTCTTTAAGAAGGGTATTTTTTCTGTTTGTTCTTACCTTAACAGGGAGAATAGCCAGTCTTGAATTTGCAGTCCTTATGGCCATATCTTGAAAAACTACTATGTGATGTTAACAAGGAAAAAAAGATAATTTGGAGAATTAAGTGGGTGTTTCTTAAAGGAAAAAAGTTATTTTCTTTTTCACCCATATACCTGCAAAATCAAAGGCAGTTCAGAACTGATATTTCTACAGTAAAAATGTGAAGAAAATTACAAATTATTTTTGTGAAAAAGCTTACTTCACCTGTGGAAAAACAAAGCCATGAACACTTCTTTTTATCAAATATGGACACTAGATTATGATTTATGGCTCCTAGATCAGGTTCTAGATTTCAGCAGAGTGTACTTCCTGTGGGAATTCAGCTCAGATGTAATTTCATTGAATATGTAGGAGAATTGGGGCAGATGGACATCTTCAGTTAGAAATGTTAGATTCAGTAAACGGAGACCCAAATTATACCATTTTGTATATAAAAGGAGCGGAGGAGATGACATGAACTTGAACACTTCCTTCCCTGATTTAGTGCACTGAAAGGAAGACTAATAATACAGCGTGCAACACTGCTCTAAATATTGTTCAGTAAATTGCCTTTTGGTGTGAATCACATACCAGAACTGTATTCAAATACTTACAGATTCTTGACATAAATGTGTGTTTCTTAGCTGTCCCATTTCCACCTCCTTTTTTGTGTTAGTTTGTTCTTTGTTTTTTGAATTGAAAGTAGAGGATAAGTAGCTACAATAATTATGCACGTCAAATCAGACCCTCAGCTGGTGTAATTCATTGTATTTACCAGGAAGTAAGTGTAGCTATATTGATTTATCCCAGCTGAACATCTGCCCCATAATACCTCTGAGCCGTGAGCATGAAGATGGCACATTTCTCAGGTAGATCTTTATAAGCGTTAAGTAATAATGACTGTTTTATAAAGATCAGTGGATATAATTTTACATATGCAGATTAGGTATTTAATAAGGAATTGCAAGAAATTTTATAGCTTGAGAGAGAAGTCAAGACCATTTGGCTTGGGTGTGGTGTGCATGCATGTCACGGTGGGGGCATCATGGTGCACCATTCTCTGCTCATGGCCCAAATGAGAAAATCCAGGGTCCTGCACCCAAATACAGTATTATAACAATAAAGGATACTGGTTACTTATTGGTATGAATGGTAAGCTGTCATCTTCATGAAAGGTACTCAGGTCATTCTTCACACTAGTGCAGTGCTGAGTGCTGTGACCTCTGTTGATTTTCTTTTCATTTTGTATGGTTGTGATCATGTGCTAAAACTTTAATGTAAGTAAATTGTAGCTAGTGTTTACAAACTGAAATATTGCTGTATCACTGTAAAGTTTAAACCAATGAATTTTTCCTCCCCAACTTAAATAGAATGTATTTCTTCCAGTTTGAATCAACAGGACTGGGCCTCAGCAGCAGCAGATTACGTACCACACTGAACAGAATCCAGGAGAGTCTGATTGATCTGGTAAGTACCTCAATTTTGTTAATGCTCAGTGGAATAGAGGTCTGTGTAGGAAATTTAGGAATTGCATTTCATTGTGGCTTTCCGATTTTTAACTCTCTTCATATTCGGTGTCTGTAATGACAAAGGCTTAGTTTCATGGCGTATCATGATATAAATAAATATCATTATTGTATGAAATCACTTGTTTCTAATGTGCTCAAAACTAGTTCAATAGGTTTTGCTAGATTTAACAACAGAATTGTGTATTTAAATCTTATAATGTATTATGGTTCATGTAATAAAGAGAGACATTCCAGTATTATCCTTATTAAATGAGATGGTTTATAAAAAAGAAAACAAACCAACACAATAGATGACTCATTTTTCTTCAGTAAAAGAAAAGCAAAACACTAAGCCATCCTGAAGATCATTCACCCTGCAAGATAATAGAAGTAGTATACTAAGTCCTTTGTTAAGTCATTTCTGAATTGTGGGGAATTTTCCCCGATATATTTTATAGACTATATCCTAGTGGGCACTTCATGAGTTATTTTCAAAATGTGAAAAGTAAATATGCTGCTTGTGTCACACTGGTAGTAGATTACTGTCCTTTACATCACATTACAAAGGGTAAACAGGAGACTTCAGATAGATTTTGTGGATTCAACTGAGCAGCAGAGTTTATAAAGAAATATTGTTAAGAACTATGCAAAAATGGAGATTTGAAGTTCTTTTTTTCCACCTAAATATAAACCCCTTGAAACATTATGAAGATGTTTCCTAAGAGTATCATAAATGGCTTGTGTAGTAGTTAATACCCCAGATGCTGCAGGGAGGATTTATTTTCTAAGTCTTGTACCTTAGAAAGAAGTAGAAGACAGATGCTCTACTCTGACTTTCACAAGCATTTGGCACTCCGTAGAATTGTATTTTTGCCTTTTTAATTCCTTGAAGTATTATATTGAATCCTAAACTGTTCTTTCAGTCGAGCTTCATAAAGGGGTTTGGGGCCATTTCTTATAGAGTCAGTAGAGGGAGCATAAGATAACTAATAACCCCAGGCCTCTACAAAATAGAAGAAGGCTGGCCATATTGATATTCATCTCAAAGGCAGTGTATTAAAAAAGAAAAAATAATGCTAGGAAGATCTTGCAAATGAATCAGTTAAAGATTATGGAAAAATGGCAAGTTATGGAATGAATTTTTTAAACTTACTCTGTAGTCACAGTCCCTGACAGTGCTTTACAGCCTTGAATTTTTTTCATGAGTCAAAATAATGTTTGAAAAATCATTTCTAGGAGTAAATTGGAAGAATAATAGCCCTTCTTTTTCTTCCTCAGTCATTTAATGGTGCTGTTACAGATAATGTTAGTGTCAATTGAAATTAATAGCTATGTTCTAGGTAAGATTTGAAAGGAGGAAGAAATCTTAGCTAACTGCTGTTAACTTTAAGGCATTCCATGAGGTTTATTAATATCTTGTGAACTTAGGCTGGTCTTAAACTATAAATGGAAATTTTCTTACTTTTTGATTCATGAGGAAGAAAATGTCTTCTGGGTATTTTTATTGTTTGTTTATTTTTAAGAGTTTGTGAAAGTAGAGATTAATCTTTACTGTGTCATAAAATGGGTATTTCTCATGATTGTATGGACTGTTCTGGACTGCTGTCAAAATTCTCCTCTCTTATCTTAGATTATTGTAAATTGCTTTCTGAAAATATTCATGTTTGTGTTGTGGGGTTCAGTCTCATGGCCTGTTGGGAATTTTGTTTTTTTGCATTGTCTTCTATTCATGGTAACTTTATTAAGGGCTATAATTTCTGTTGCATTTCAGTTCCTTATGGCAGCACCTTTCAATATTTTATTTTCATAAAGATAGTCGGAATCTGATAGTTCTAAATCTGTGACTAAGGCTCTGCCAGAATTTCATGTAGATCAGAATAGTTCCTCTAAGCTGTCAGTGCCTGCGAAGGTTGAGCTCTATGATCTATGTCAAGATTCTGTAGTAGTTTAGACTGGATCATTCCTAGCTTTCTTCTTGGACTTTGTCCATTCCTTTTTTGAGATACCAAGTGGATGAAGGCCTATTTACTCTATATTTCTTGTTAGGAGTTAGAGGAATAATTTGAGGATTTAAAGGCCATCTTCTCCTGCTTTTTGTAGACTTTTTGTAGTTTCTGTTTGTGATTGAATTAATGCTATCTAGTTTATACCAGATACCTTTTTAGGATACTACTTTTATTATTATTCAGCTGAATTTTAAGCTTCCTTTGTGAAGAAAAAAGCAAAGTGGAAGGGGGGATGTTCTACTTCGGCAAGGTAAAGCTGAGCTGCACTTAAAGTTCTTTCTTGCATCTTTGTAGCATCTTCAGTGTGAAGAGCATGGAGGTCGATTGGAGGCATTCTCTGTAGCTCCTTATGGAGCTGCTCTATTAAGTTTCTTTTTCCCTATTATTACAGTGCAAGAAGTGTCTGCCCTTTGAATATGTACTGTACCTACAGTATACCAATCATAATTGAGAAAGAAGTACTGTCCTGGTTTTCATTTGGACCACTTAGAGACAAAGAGTTGGGTTTCTGACTCACGGCCACTGAGGAAAAAGGCTGCAGCAATTTAAAGTGTTTCCTCTCCTCTTCCCTGCATCCCTCCTCATGCATCGCATACCCCCTACTTCTGCTGGAGGGTCCTTGTCCCCTCTAGGCAGTGTTCAACTGTAGCTGAATCACATCTCCACTTTTTCACAATCTAATACTTCATAGCAAAGCCAGCTGTACTTTATAAACTGCAGCAAGTCCCCCTGCAGTTTAGATTAATGTTTTAGACTGTGTACAGGAAATAGCTGAGATATGAACATGTGTTCAGTCATGTTAACTCCACCCCAGGGCAATAATGTGACACCTTATCTGTGATACGTATTATTCAATGTCCGTATGCTGCTCCTACACTGACACAATAGTAAAATTATAGTAAACAAAAGAACCTTACCACTTCAGTTGGAAGTAAAAGTGCCCCTCCTCCTCGTATTTATGATACAAAACCATATTTGTAATTTGGATGGGGTTTTTTTGATTTGGATGTTCCGTATGATGACAATAATGAAGCGACTTTTATGATGACAATGATGAAGGGACTTAACTCTTTACGACTCTTACTCTTAACTCTTTACAACTTAACTTAAAATGTCACAAGATTGAGCAAGTATGTTCTTTAGGTGCTACTGCTTTAAATATGCTTCCTATTTAAAACTGTTATAAATACACCAGTAATGAGGTTTTGTCCAGCTATGGCTTTTGTTAATCTCTGCACTGCTAATACTGATACTGGTTTAAGTATGGCCTGAAATTTCTTTTGATTTATAAATGAAATAGGTTTAGTTAAAAATAAATAAAAGGGGCCTACCAATTAGTGAAACTGTCTTTATTTGCTTTCTTATAGTAAGTTATGTGGAAGTGTGTTGGGAGCATACAGTGATTGAGTAACCAGTTTTCTGTGTCTAAGCTACTTGTCTTTGCCTTAAGGAAATACTTGTAGGCTAACTCGAAAGTATAAAAAAATACAAGCACTTTGTGTATTTGTTTTAAAGTTGATTAGGGTGCACTTTCATTTCTGAGAGGTAAGAGAACAATATGACTTTCAAAAATTTGTTTGGCTACTTTGTACTGAATTTCATATGTGTATCTGAACTTCATGTTCAGGACTCTCCACAGCTAGTATAAAGTAACTTCAGTAATAGATTTCAGCTGTGCAGGAGCTTCAGAGCTAATAATTTGGATCCTCCGGAAATAGCACCCTACAAGCTGTGTTTGATTCATACCAGCAGGATGTATTAAAAGGAAAACACAGAAAGAGAAGAGTGAAAAGGGGCGGAAGAATTTCTTTTGTTTCAGCCTCACTTAAAATGCTAAGGTGCAGTTTTGATTAGGCCAAAGACATTGAAACAAGTGCCTGTTTCTGAGCTGCCTATGACTCCTCACTGGCAGTTCCCCTGAGTGGGATATGTAGAGATACCTACACTCATTCGGTCCTTGTGTTTGTCATTTCTAACAGGAATGTGTTTTTGCAACAGTAACGATGTTCGTATTAGTCCACTGAGACCAGTAAGCCCCCAAATAGGTACAAGGCATCAATCAGATTGATGTGATCTATGATAATTGGTGATTCGGAAGGGAAATTTCTACTTCTGATTCCTTGCTTTATCTGTCTCTAAGCAGCTTCCTTATCTTCACAAAACGTAACTCATTCATGGTACTGCCATTACCTAGATGTTGTTTTTGAATGTCCTGTGTGTGTGCACATAGCTGCCTTGAGTGATACTGCTGCTTCCAAAAGTGAGATTTTGCGGGCAAATAACCATGGAATACTCATAAATATTTAATTGCAAACTGGCTTGCTCAAGTAAAACTGAGATTTAGAATGAAGTTTGTTATAGTGCCTTACAGCAGTACAAAATAGATCACTGTGGTAAAGTATATAAGCATTGCAATGCAATGTGTAGAAGAGTAGATGGAAGGAATCACTGGTATAAAGAAGTATTGGTTAATGTATTTTTGATTCTGTCTTTACTTTAGCTTTTGGGCTCTTCCCCCATTCTGGCAGAGTAGGTTAGAGATTGATGGTGCAGAGATGTAAAATGTAGATTTTTCAGCTGTACAAATAAGATAAGGAATAATGGGAGGAACAGTTTTTTTCTTTATGCCTGACTTTCCAACCCATTTTGGCTTTGACCCTTTGATGCTGTGGAATGGTACAGTTCAGTTATACTAGTCCCAGTTCTAGAAACAAGCGATTCAGTTTTACTTAAAATGTCACAGCACAGTCCTGCATTACTTAATGTGGATCTGTACCCTGTTATGTCGTGGTCTGGCGTACCAGTGGCAAGCTCTGGCGAGTCTAGGCTGTGGAATTTGTTACTTGACATGGCAGTGCCTAGCACAGGATGCTGCTCCTAAACAATATAGCTAAGCTCCTTGCTGAAATGGTAGCTGTGAGCAGTGATTCTTGGTGAGGTTTTGTTTGGCCAA